AATTCTTCTGCTGACTAATAAAATTTTCTAATGCATAAAAATCTACTCGCTAAATACTTGTAAAACCGACTATTGTTTTTTCATAACAAAAAAAAAAAAGGGACAACCAACCAGGGACAATGGAATAGCTAACCACGTCCCTCCTAAAAGAGCGGAAGTCGTTCAACTTAATGTCGTGTTCGTCATCGTTGTTGTGAATATTCGACCGCGTTGGAGATTTTACGATTATTGAAACAATTATTAAGGCAATTGCAACATGTTAAGTGCTGCCAGTGCGCCAGTTGGTTTTAAGCTGTTTTAGCCCATTTAGTATTTGGCTTAAATAACAACAGAACAGAGTGCGGAGTATCACAGGAAAGCACTTGCAATACGAAGTTCTCTTGTCGAGGATATTTGGAAAGACAGTGAAATTATAATTCCAACACCAACTTTAATGTTATTTTTATTACTTTTTACTAGCACTAAGCAATGGACTAGTCATTTGTAGTGTTTTTTTATAAAAAAATTTATGTGTAGTACTTTTTCTATTTCTATTTCTAGTAGCACAGTTACTTAATTATAGTTTATATTGTCTTTCAGTATTTATTAGATTATAATTGTCAGTGTTGATGCACTATATCTTTCTGTTATGTATGATAAACTGCAAAGTTGATTAATTAATTAATATTTTTAATTATTTTAATTTATTTGTTTAATTAAAACACAGCTTGTGCATTTGCTGTTAAGGATATCACAACAAATTTACAAAACTCAGAAATCGAACAACGCAATTTGAGTGTGCCATGGGTTCAGTGTGTTCAGTCTGTGAGTTTGAGTTTCTGTTTGGTTAGGGCTTAGCACACCTAGTACTTGCACTTCAACATTTATAGACTGACAACTCAATTATTATATATTTTCAAAAACATGCTATTAATGGCTATTTAGGAATAACCGATCAGCAATTTGGCAATATTCGATCTCTTGATTTAAATTTAATATTTGTATGCATAATTTCTTCAACAAATATATTACACTCTATTATAATTTGATTATCTATTTAAAAAAGATTTTTAGGTAGAATAGAATAAATAAAAATTAAAGTTTTTAATAACAGATTTCAAAAAAATACTGTTAATGGCTATTTAGGAATAGCCGATCAGCAATTTGGCAATATTCGATCTCTTGATTTACATTTAATATTTGTATGCATAATTTCTTCAACAAATGTATTACACTCTATTATAAATTAATTATCTATTTAAAATAAATTTTTAGGTAGCATAGACTTTTTAGAATAAATAAAATTAAAGATTTTAATAACAGATTTTGATATTTAATGCATCCTTTGCATAGAAATGATGCTATACTTATCTCCGTGTCACTATAGCCATCATAAGATCTTAACATGAAAGCATTACGAAAAAGCTAAGTATTCTTGTTTATTAGATCTGTTATTATAATTTTTCAGGCCGATCCGCAGATGTTTGTAATTGGAACTGCTTTTTATAATTTATGTTAGGTATTACAAATTTAACTGATTTCAAGAACCGACATGCGGTTAGATGTTGTGCACTCGTTTTGTGCTCTGTCAGAAAACTGACGATATGTACTTCATTTATTACCATAATACTAACACGTGTATTATAAGTTTGAAGTCAAAAACCATGGAATCTATTATATAGCATTTTAAATAGCCTTTTTGCATAAGTTCAATCAATAGGCGGATTTGAGAGGCGGAATAAAAAACTGGTAAGAAGAAGAAAACTAATGGCAAACTGACCTTAATGGCTTAATTACTGAGAATTTTATTTTGGTTCTATCCTTTTTAATTACTATTATTAAAGTTATCAATACTCGCTTTTAAATTCGAAAAGTAGAAAAGTACAAAAGGTCATCATACTACGTTTTAAATTAAGAAGTTCAACAAAAATTTCAGTCAAGAGCAATCGGTCAAGAAATGAACAATTCGAGTAAGAGAGCTCTCGCCTTTCGTTTGCAGTGGAATTTATGGAAGATATTGGGTGCCAGCAGTGACGGCGCCAAATGGAAGTATCTCTATTGGTTATACTGCTTGTTTCTGAATACAATTTTCACTATTTATTTTCCACTTCATCTTATCTTGGCAATTTCCGAAACACAAAATCTTAAGGAACTTCTAGAGCTGATCACGGTTTGGGTTACTACTGTTGCCTGTTCGATGAAATTCTTCGCATTGATAATGAACTTTAAAAAAGTATATTTAATAAGGAAAACCTTTTCAATTCTAGACAATAGTGTTCACGATAGTGATGAGTTAAAAGAACTAGACAAAACCAATCGAAGAGCTCGCATTGTCGAAGGAGTTTTTATAAGTGTTTTCACTTTGACAGTCTTAACTGCCTCCATAACAGCATTTGGTAGTAAAACACCGAAACTGCTCTATATGGGTTGGTTTCCATTTAACTGGCGTAATTCTCGTTTTTTGTGCAACATTGGAAATGCCTATCAGATTATTGCAATTATCTATTATATAAGTATTAATTTTGCAAATGATACCTTTGTGGCGACTGCACTTTGTATTCTCCATGGACATATAAAAATTTTGGGTAAACGCATATCAAAAATTGGCGAAAAGGATAAAAGCCAAAATTATAATGAAGAGCAATTAAAATTATGCATTGAGATTCAGAAAGTACTTTATTTGTGAGTATGTATATTGGATTATGACATTTGTTTACTAAAAGTCACTCTTAAAATTTCAGACTCTGCGATCGAATTCAACTCGTAGTATCTTTGACGATGCTGGTGCAATTTACGGTTAATGCTACTAACATTTGCTTGAATCTGGCAATTATGTTATATTTCTCAACGGATAACATAAATCGAATATTTTACTTCTTTTATTTATTTGCTGTGTCCTTGCAAACATTTCCTGCCTGCTACTATGGTAGCAAAGTAGAGCACGGCTTCGAGCAGCTTCGTCATGCAGCTTTCCAAAGCGATTGGATACAACAGAACCGAAATTATAAGACATGTATGATTATTTTCACAGAACGTGTACTCAAAAAAAGAACCTTAATTGCTGGAAGGCTACTACCCATACATTTAGACACTTTCTTCTCAATATGCAAAGGAGCCTATTCAATGCTTGCTATGATTATTAAATTGAAGAAATGAGGCGTATTCCTAACAACTATTACCTGGTACAAAACGAATGCCTTTAAATGCCAATATTTAAAAAATCCGACTTATTCTCACTTATTTGATTTTAATTTAGTTTAATTTAGAAACTAAGTTTAGTTTTTAGTTTTTTTTTAGTTTTTGTTTTTGACATATTTATTTATATTAAAGTAGTATTTTGGCATAAAAATTCAAATGATCTAATTTCTGTTTAACAAAATAAATGATAAAAAAATGCATCCATTGATTTCATAAGGTTTTGAAGTTCTATTTCCATTTTTAATCAAACTTTTTGTCATTATAACAATTAAAAATGACTAATGTGACCGAATGTGCATGACATACATACGTATGTTTGACATACAAATATACAAAAAAAAAAAATCATGATTTTCCATCTTCAAAGTGGCTCTGCCCACGTTGAGTTGACCCAATCCGTAGTGAAAATACAGATACAAAACTCCTGTATGGTCTTAAACTCATTCAGCGAATTGTTCTGAACACCCAAGAGTTTTGGTGCAATTAATTTTAACAATGCCACAAAACCGGTTGAAATATACGTATATAGCTACTAGCAAAAGTTTTAAATGATTTATTAGAAAAATTAATACTTCCACAATTTATATTGATTATATTTTTTTTCTTTCTTAGCATAACCAGTGCTATCTCGACTAATAGACATTTGGCTCGATCCGATGCCAAGTTTTACTGATTGTTCACACATAGCTTCATTAAATCTTTTTCAGCATCATCTATCCATATCTTTCTAAGTATATCTCTTATTCGGGATCCAAATAGTTTTCTTACAAGTGCTTGTTTTGCTGATCATTCTTGGTTCATATGCTTCAACGTGTCCTAGTCATCTTAGTCGTTGTGATTTTATGTATCGTCTTACCTTCTGTTTGTTGATTAAGTTCTCTAATTCGTGTTTGTATCGAAAACGATATGTGCCATTATCTAGACGTATTGGGCCAAAAATCTTTCGCAGTACTTTCCTATCCTGGGGAAGTAGTTGGCATGTTTCGTTTGTTTTGCGTGTGTATACTCAATGTATGCAGCCATACATCAGGACTGGTTTAATTAGGCATTATACTTACGAAGTTTTATTATCTTGATAAGATTTTATATTTAAATATTTTATATGTACGAAGTATGTTTTATTTGCTGCCTGAATTATATCTTGTATCCTAGTTACGAGAAAGGTTATATCAAATATATTCTGAAGAAGCGTAGACAGCTCAGAAACATAAGAACTCCTGCTATTCTGAAGTAATTAGAAAAAGCCTATGTCTAAATCTTACTTATCTAAGTAAGATAAGTGAATCAGATTATGAATTTTGATTAAATAATAGATGTAACTCATACTATAACTATTACTCGTTATCTAACCACAGAAACCTGGAAATAAGGATCTGTGAGATGTATTTTTAAAATGACTTTTCAAAATACAAAAATCATGCGCTTGATTTAAAGATGTAGAAACCCACATCACATTAACTCTGGATTTCAAAACTTTCAAATAAAACTCGTAGTTTGGATCTGCTTACCTATGACAGCTATTTCTGAAGTTACCTTCTAAACAGTGGTCTTCCAAATAGAAAACAGATGATGTAGACAGCAAATGTTTTCCGCAGACGGTACATGAAAAAGACGTGGAAGCTCTTAATCACTTTCTATATCTTAGATTAGGACTGCAAACGAGACCGTTTCTGCACAGACCGGGCATAGAAAACGAAATTAGATTTATTGGGTCTTCTTAACATCTGGACCAAATGGTTTAACAATGGTAGTATAATGATTCATTTTGGATGGAAATCACAATGGTGTAGTTTGCCACCTACCGGCAAATTTAAAGACGGCACAATGGGGTATATTTGTCTCTGAGTGGAAGTGTTGATATATGTATCAACAAAAGCCCTTTCAACTTAATCTTGCAGTGTAATACTTAATCCTTAATTAACTTTTCTCTTTAAATGACTTTTCAGATCAGTTTATGATAGAAATCAATTATTTTTTAAGTCATGGAATAAATGGATTATTGTTTTGTGTATTTTTTTTATAATATTTGGCACAGAGATCAGTGTCAGCACTGCAAACCTATTAAAATAGAGTTGTTCATATCAACAAGTAAGCGCATTTTAAATTAAATATTTTATTTCAATTTTTGATTAGAGCAGTACTTTACTATTTGTGACTTATTTTTTTATAATGATTGAGACTTAATCAGTCTTAATGAATTACAATCAGTTCATTTGAATTAATTAAAGATTTATCAATTGAATCCTTTCTATCCTTTTTCTGTTTCGATTCAGGTTATTATAAATATCTGATTTAATTAGTTTAGTAAAGGATATTTCGAGTGGTGTAATAAAATCAGATATGGGTATGCATTCGTATGTCACAAAAAGAGAATATTATAATAAATATATAAAGGAGTATATATGTATGTTTATATATTCATTTCGCAAATGAAATAGAAATTAAATCTGTTAGTAAAACAGTAGATACAAATGTGAAAAACTGTGAATTAGAAGGTAATTAAAATTAAATTAGCAGACTAAATGAAAAAGGATAGTAAGGACAGTCAGTTACTTTTACTAATTAGTAGAAAATTATTTCAATAAATAGAAATGTAAAATGACCATTTACGATTTATTAGTTTTGTGCTTTTGCTCACATGATGGACGCAGTGGATAGTCTAAAATTAATGAAAGTCCAATGGCTAGTTTGGGCAATAGTTGGAGTGAACTCAAAAAATACGAAGTGGAAAAAATTATATTTTGTTTATAGTATTGTTGTAATATTTTTGATGATTTTTTTTCTACCATTGCATTTTTTCTTTGGTATTTTCAATCCGGAAGGACAAAAGCAAAAATTTCAGTTGATTGCAGTTGCACTCAGCGCTGAAGCTTCATCCATAAAACTTTTAAGCTACTTTCGAAATTATGGTAAAATACGTGAAATGGAACTGCAGTTCAGGGAGTTGGACAAGAATATTAAACATTCTGAAGACTCTTTACTATTCCAAGATGTATGCAGAAAAATGAGGAAGATTGATTTTATATTATTTACAGTCACTGGTATCCTTTTGTTCAATTGCTTCTCAGCTATTATATTTCAAACTAACGGGACACTTCTGTACAGCGGCTGGTTGCCTTTCGATTACAGAGTATCTACTTTAAATTATAACATTGCTAAATATTATCAGTTCATAGGAATAATTTATGCCTCTGTACAAAATGTCATATCAGATAGATTTTCGATAATGGCATTTTTCCTGATTTCGGAACATATCAAATTTTTACATAGACGCATTTCCAGAATTGGTCATTGCAAAAATAGCCAAATCGAGAATGAAAAAGATTTTCAAAATTGCATAAATGCTCAGCAGTGTCTGTACGAGTAAGTATGATTGAGAAAATAAAGGGTTTCATTTTTTTTACAGTTGTAATTATTTTAGTCTATGTTATCACATCGAAGACATTGTAGCATTTCCATTGTTTCTACAATTCACGGTCACAGGAATAACTACTTGCATGGCAATGTCTGTTGCACTGTTCTTTGTGGAGGACACCTTCACGCGTTTGTATTTTGCTTTTTACGTGATTTGTGTACTAATGGGTCTTTTTCCGGTCTGCTATATGGGCAGTGAGTTGGAGCATGCCTTTGAACAGTTGCATTGGTCCATTTACTACAGTGATTGGATCAATCAAAGTACTGCGTACAAGAAGGACATGTTGATTTTTAATGAACGTGCTCTGAAGCAACGCGCCGTCCTTGCTGGTGGAATATTTCGTATACATTTACAGACATTTCTTTCTACCTGTAAAGGTGCCTACTCGATGTTTGCCGTAGTTCTTCGTTTCAAAAATGAATAAAAACTAAGTAGAGCAAACTGTAAAATATTCATATGAAAAATATATATATTTAACAATGCACAGTAGAGTACAGAAGAGTAGAAATATTTTGCACTAAAATAAATTTCAAATTTATATATATAATAATAAACTAATAGACATGAATTGTCAGATTTATTTCGGAGGAAGTTGAAGAGTTTTCAAAAATATGTAGTGTGTTCTTTGTTATTCTTCATTAAATCCAATGCTATTA